CCATTTCCATCCCCCAAATCATTTTATCGGCAAAGAAAAAAAACCGAGCGAGCAGATCGAAAAGGAAACGAAGAAAAAAAAAGGAGGGGAGAAATTCCGCGATCGGTATATTATTGTTATTTCGTATTCCAAATTAGGCCAATATTACAGGAGATCGATGGAAGATGGTTTTATCGCGACACTGGGTATATCTTTCCTCGATCGTTCGAAAGGGAGGCACAAAGGAGAGGAAAGAAAAAATGGAGGGGTGGGAGGGGGACGTCTCACTCGAGAGGTCGAGAACTTGGATACCACGGATGCAGACACATCGCGTGCATCCGGATCTTCTCGTGGATCACGCTATTGAGACGAGAATATCGTTAACCTTGCGGAGGTTGGGAAGGGGCGGTTTGGCCGCCTTTCATCCTCGAGCATTCTCGTCCCGTGTAAATATTGCAATTTTTTTTTTCTTTCTTTCTTTTATCACGCGTCTTTTCGATAAGAAGAGAAGACAGTAGAATTAGATTAGGAGGGGAGGAAAAAAAGAAGGAGAGATTTGATAGAAATTTGATAGGAATTGTGGGAACACGATTGTAGAAACGAGAAAAGGTATGGATACGCGTTTTGGAAAGGGAGATGGAGATTATCGAGAGAGTGATTTGACATTCGAAACTTTGCCTCTTAGATCGTTGCTTCTCGATGGAAATTTTAATGAAACTGGAACGCGATGAGGAAACGCGATGCAGTGAATTATGGGCTATTGTTTTCGAAGAAGATTATATTATAAGTTGGAACATAACGAAGAAACGGTGCATTGAATTATGCACGTATGATTTAGGAAAGAGAATGAAGTATTTTGGTGCTTAGGTTGTTGACATTTGGTAGAAATGTGATGAAATTTGTTATGTTGTATGCCTATATACATTTCAGAAATAAAAAGTAACGAACATAAAAAATTATTTAATGAAAAATATTTTGTTTATCGCAATATTAATGGCACTAATCGATTTAAGCCATAATTGGAAGAAGGTCACGGGATCGTTGTGAGATAAAAAAAAAATATATATATAGTTGGTAGAAAGGGGAGAAAATAAAAGGTCTTGCGAGACTGATTCTCTTGGAAGATAGATCTCTTCGAGAATGAAGAAAAAGCGTGGTAAAAGAACACGCACCCATTTCTGAACGAATGTCTTCCATCATTTTGGGATGTACATTATCATATTTCTCGTGTCAGTTAGAAGCAATGCCTTCTGCTCTTAGCAAATTACAGGGATTTCCTTTTTCCCATCTCTTTCCGTTCAATTTATCTCTATTAAGAAAAATATTCGCCGTTCATTTTTATTAGTAAACTTTTCTTTCACGGTGAATATTTTTCTTCGCATTAAAGGAATAATTTACAGTATCTGATAAACGATTTTTTTATCTAATTAGGTTAATATAAATGCAAATAATAAATAAGTAAGAAATGACGATGATAATAATTAAGAATAATACTGAATAATCATTAATTGAACCATTAAACAATTGATAAATAATTAGATTATAGATTTTTATGCAGCTAAAACGTATTCAAATAATATATTAAAAGAAAACATGATACAAATATCATTAAAATCTATTCAAAAGATAGAGGAAACTATATTCTTTAAGTCCTTTTTTGTTTCAATTCGATATCTGAATCGGTTGCTGAGATATAAGAGCTCAAAGTGTCCATAGCGTTTAATGCAGAGATTATGAATGGCATATTTTCCTAGAAATGCATATTATGTTCTTTCCAGGAATAGTGTATTATATTTTTCCAGGAATCGCGTCTGTCGCTTGTCTGCAATTTGAAATAGGTTAGTGAGACAAGGTAAAAACGAGAAGCGAGAATAAGTGATAAGGATGGAGATAGATAAACGGTTAAAAAATTATTCTTTTCTTTACAAGACGATATCTCGGAAACCGGAAGTCATGTCGAGATAAATAAAACAACGTTTCAAAGGAGAAGGTTCTGCGCTTCTAATGGTCTTTCATTCGTTGACCGGAAGTCATTATCTTCGGAGTTATGGCGGTTCAAAGTTTTCCAAATTTTAATCGAGTCTAATCGGATTTAAAACTTATCTTTTCTTTACAGGATGATATCTCGGAAACCGGAAGTCATATCGAAATAAATCAAAAACCATTTAAAGAGGAAGATTTCGCGCTTCTAATGGGATTTGATTCGTTGACCGGAAGTTACTATCTTCGCATTTATAACGGTGCAAAGTTATTCTAATTTTAATACGTTTTTAATAGAGTTTTGCTTGTACTTAGATATTTTAGTCAATTTTTAATCGTCGATAATTCTATTTAAAAAAAATTCTCATTAAATGTATAACGTAGAATTTCTTATTACAATATCTTCGATAGATTTCTGCAAGTTTAAATTGAATTCCAAAATATCTGTTCTACGAAAATGGAGTGGAAACTTCCAAAGTGGCTTGTTTTCGTGGAAATCTTCAGCTATTCAGTAATATCGGTTTGGGAGAACAACATGATTATGCAGATACATGACAAACATAGTGAGAAGCATTCTCATCGTAATGCTATTACACGATTATCAGGTATCCGCCAATGCTAATCAAGGCATCTGTTTCGATCGCTACACCTCATTCTGCTAGTGTTCTCAGAATGCAAATAGTATATTCAGACATGCGATACAATGTATAAAGCTTCTCTCCATCCATATACATTTTGAAAATTAAAATTATTTACAAACGTGCCCAATGCGTCCCATTCTTCTCAGAATATCTATATTTCTTATTCGTCTAAATTATTATAATCGTTAAAAATTAGAATTTAGAAAAAAAAAATTTAAGAAATAAGAGAAGAGAATTAAATAATACAAACAATACGATACAAAATATAAAATTTTAATAAATTTCCTTTTTCTCGAACGAAAATATTGATAATATAAAATTAACTAAGGGGAAAGAAGTAATTATATATTTTTTTTTTCTAAAAACAACTCGAATGACGCAATTAACTGGAACACCCTACCTGTAATGTTCTGGCCGCTTCCGGTAAACGAGAATCGATGTAACGAGCAAGACGCAATCTCGATGTAATTTACATTATTCATCGATATCGTTACAAATGAATCTCGTCGCATGTCGAAATAAATATTGATCCATTCCAATCTAATTTTCATAATAATGTTGTTCTTTTATTCATGCAACAACATTTCCATGTCATTATATGACTTTTCATTTCAATAAAATTTTCATTTTATTCGTTATTTTATCTGTTACTTTTTCTTTTTTTTTTTTATCTTAAATTGATTATCATATTATTCTGTGTTATTTTAAGATTCACAATTTTTAACGATATTCAGTCAGATATCTTATATTATCCAAGACTTCGATAATATTTAAAAATTTCTCATAATTCTGATAATTGTAAAAAGAATTATATCTCTTTTCTATATTTTCGTACAAGAAACAAACTATCTATACTATTCTTCAGTAAAAAATTTTTCATTCATATTTATCATTTCTTTCCTATTTTACTACAAAAGAATGAAGACAAAGTCAACGATAATCAACGATAATTGAAATCTTATATTACAAGTCTCCTTCTTCCAAGGTAAAAGAAAAAAATGGAATTCGTAGTATGCGGCGTGAAAGTATTTCAAGACGAATGATTTTAATAGGGAGCAATCGTTCCAACCGAATCCTCTGTGCATTCTGAAAATTTAGAAACTTGCATACGCCATTAATAATTCCGGGTACGCGCAATTCCCTTCATCACACGGCCAGTTCCACGTAATCGATTGCAAATTACTCGTGAGCGAGTTTAACGATCGAGTAAATCTTCCAGCGTGATAACTGATACCACGATAATACCCTTCGTTGCCATTCCCATAGGGTGGATAGGATTGAAGCGATAGCAATAGTTGGAAGCAATGATGATAGCGATATTAGTAAGAGTAATAGCGAAGTTATTAGTAGCCAGGAATGGTGATGATAGTGGTTGAAACGAGGTGCAAAATGGTAGGGTAAAACTATTTGCCGCTTAAGATCCTTGCCTATTCAGAATTCTGTCTGTTGTAATATATACAGAATGATTATCGTTTCTTTTAGAGGAATCATTCGTTTGAAGAAATGCTTTTGGACGAATCTTTAAAATAATTTTTAAATAATCTAAAAAACACGACTCACTTAATTTTTAAAAGCTATGAATGCTTTTCTTCCAATATAAATTATACTATTATTGCTTCATTCTATATCTAACCATACTGAAATGAAATTCGAGTAAATGATTAATTAAAAACTCCACAATTTAATTGGCCAAAGCGATTGTTTACCAAAATATTTCCATTAAATAATTATCTACTTCTTTATCCTTTTATTTCCAATTTATACTATTCTGAGTATCATCTCGATTTCAATTCATCCAATTTTAAAAAATCCTCACATCGCTCTCAAAAATTATTTTTAAATAATCACTGCATCGATCACGAATCGCATTTGTCCAACAAATCGAAGTGTTCAGTTGTCAAATTATTCGATACTCGAAAAGGAGAGAAAAAAAAGGGAGAGAGAAAGACTTACCACCATGTCAGAGCCACTCTTGGAGGCGT